GGGAAGGAGAGCACACTCCCGGGGAGCAAGGCTGCAGATGGCCCAGGCAGGATGAAGGCTCATGGCCAGAACATCAGGCCAGCACCAGGGTCGGCCAGGGAGATTTGTGCCCAGTGTGCGGCATCCCCAGACGAGCTGGCAGTTAAGCCTGTTGGGTGAATATGAAGGGGCCACGTGCACATAATGAAGGGCCTTATGAAGGAGGAGTCTACAATGGCTCTGTGTGTCCTCCTGATTTCTTCACAGGGCAAGAAAATGGTGCTTCCGGAGAAGTGGGAGTAGGAACCTGCAGCTGGGCAGGACTGGAGGAGCCTTGAGAGGGCAGGGCGTGTCTCGGGAGGAGGGGGGTCTTCAGGAGCTTCAGAGGCCAAGGGCTTTTCCCAGCCTGTCCTTTCCAGATGCTCTGGGGCCACCCCAAACACCTGGAGGAGACAGGCGGCTTGATGAGTCGACCTGAACTGGAATACTTCCTGAAGCCCCTTCCTGCCATGGGCCGGTCTCTCTTCCAGACCAGTTAAACCCGCCAGTTGCATGCGTTTTCTGGGAAGTCAGTGGCTGAACTAGAACTCCTGCCTTTGCATTCAGCAGGAAAACACTTGGTGCTGAGCACCGCCAGACAAAGTGACCTGGAGTCTAGGGTTCTGCTGCCAATCTCCACGGAGCTCAAGCAGATGCGGGGCAGGGCAATTTCTTCCAAAGGACCAAACTGCGCTCCCAGGCTAGGTGTGTTATACAAACCCAAACAGTCAACTGTGGGCAATGCCAGTCCTCCAAGAAAATGTGACAGAGGTGTAGATGCTCCAGGAGAGAACTCAGTGCAAAGTGCCTATAGGAATATGTACATCTCCACTGCTCTGTTTCCTTTTGGGGTTACCCAAAGCCCAGAAAAAGCTTTCTGTGGTCCCTCCTTTTTCATTCATTCCACATTCACTAAGTGCCCATTCTTGACCATTTCTCTGGGTCAGGAGAGAGAGGGGAAAGCATAAAGTCCTGTGTTTGGGAGAAAAATATGCAAGTCACAGGACGAGGGCTAACGGCTTGTGAAACAGGTCGGGGGTCCTTGTCAACTAACCAGAGCCAGCAATGGGATGAAGCTGCTAGAAAGGCCAAGACTATTGTGAATCGCACTAACAGGCGCATCGGATCCAATAATGGAAAGTAACTGTTTCCCTCCATTCTGGCCTGGGCAGGCCCCATTTGGAGCTGCGCGTCTAGTTCTGGCATCCCAGTTCAAAATGGATAGCGACAATTGGAGCAAGTTCAGAGGAAGGCTACCAAGATGGTCAGGGGTCTGGAAGCAAAGCCCTTTGAGGAACCATTCAATGATCTGGGTAAGCTTAGCCTGCAGAAGGGAAGACCGAGGGGAGATGTCATCGCAGTCTTCAAACATTTGAAGGGTTGTCATACAGGGGAGGGAGTGGGCTTGTTTGTTCTTTGTGGCCCCAGACGGCGGGAGCAGAGCTGGGGGTGAAACCTACATGGCAGGCGGGCCAAGCTGGACCCCAGGAGGAACCTCTTGACTCCAGGAGCTGTTGGCCAGTGGAACAGGCAGCCACGTGAAGCAGGGGCGGGGGGGAATTCCCTTCAGGAGAGGTTTTCAAATAGGCGTTTGAAAGGCTTGAGCAGATCCTACTCTGAGCAGGTTGGTCGAGATGATTTCTGAAGCCCCCTCCAAATCTATGATTCTGGAACAAGCCATCATGATCTGGAGGTTCTGCCAAACTGTTTTGAATCAGCACAGTTCAGCAAAATCCAAAAACCCAGCAGGAC